TACAAAGACGGCATATTTACCCAGAAAGGTGCTGGAGATGAATTCAGACACCTGGTTCCCTGAGCGGCTGGTTTCTGACAGCTGGCTGAGCTCTCGGTTCAGCATCCTCTTGAACTGAGGACAAACACATGCAAGCATCAATGAGCTTGATCAAACACTCTGTTTGCTAAACTGTGGACAGACTAGGTCGGATCAACTCAGCCGCCTGCTGGAACAACAGTTATCTCTTAACAACAACGTAGAAAAGAAACACTTTACAAGCAAATCACTCTCTCTCAAAACCTGCAAACGGTTCAGTCAAATACAAGGTAGCAGATGCCACAGATCATGCTGACATAAGACGTGTTGAGTCTCAGAGAAAGTCAGAAAACAAGCAACACGTGAACCTCAGGGAGTCTCCTACCCTCCCATCCAGTTCATCCCTCTCCTCCCCTCTCCTCACCTGAATGAACATCAACGAGATGGAGATGAAATAAGTCACTTCTGGCATTTCAGCGTAAAGTCAAGCATGGGAGCAAAAATAAAACGAGTTAGCTCTCAGGTTTAACACGCCTGTTCGACAGAGCTGCCTGTCTTGGAAAAATCCACCAGCGAGTGCTGCAGAAGCTTTGATTATAAGTCTGTGGAAGAACAGGAGAATTGAAGCATATGTATGTGGGAATGCTGCTGGATGCCAGGATGCAAGGCAGAGAAGGCAGACTCTCCCCGACTCTCCCTCATCCACTCAGTTACTGCCTGCCCACTATGTGTGTAAACAGAGGGAGAATGGGGTACTCTAATCTCCACCTCCTTTCAAAAATGCCTAAGAATAGCAGCCAATCAGACGCCCGCTGCAGCAGCGTGTAGCGAAACAGAGAGCCGTCATTGGCCACGAGACATACACAGTAGGCAGGGCAGAGTGAGGTTGTGAGACACACCATGTGCACCAAGTTTGAAGGTATGAAGGAAAAGCTTTGAATGGATGGGGAGGAGGGTTCATTCTTGTAGCCAAAAATAAAAATAGTACATCACGCACCACAGAGACTTGGGTGCCCTGACCATTAACACAATCAGAGGAACAAAAGACAAAATGCTTTGACAAAGAAATGCTTAAAGCGGGCTCCAAAAGTTCACTCACAGCTAAATCGTGCTCAGAAGCAGATAGAAAATATTGAAGGATAATTACAGTGGTCTTAATGTTAAGCTGATTTATTCACTTTTATACAAAATTCAAACTTGGTAGTAATTACCATCAGAGGAGGAAAAAAATGCCTATGCGGCATGTAAAAAGCTCTTTTTTAAATACCCTACTCACATATAAATAACTCAGTGATTAAAAGAGGTTGCACGATTCCTCAAAGACCCTTTCTAGGGTCAGTAAAGATCCAGTTTAACAAAGCGGTTCGATAAGGTCGTCAGGGATGCAGAAACATTGTTCACTTCAGCCTCCCATGCACCTGTCGTTGTTCCCAAGGGCCGGCATGGATAATTCTTTTCTTTAGCTCATTGACTGATCTGCAGCAATTGTGGGGGCTGGGGAGAGGAGTGGGCGTGGGAGGGGGGGTGCCTCCAGCGAAACTCCCCTCCGCTGCCACGTGAGTGACGTGTGGAATGGTGTATGCATGAAGCAGGAAGCAGGCACGGTACGTGATTGGTTAATAATGTAATTCAGATTTATGTGGTGAGAAGAGGTCTGTTTCCTTATGTTTGGACGCTTCTATGAAGTGGGTGTTTGTGAGTGCTGATCGGAGAGGAGAGGGAAGGATGGAGGAAGCATGCACGGTGAGGATTCCATTTCATCCAGTGCAACATCTCTCCCACTCCCACTCCCACTACTCATTCACATGTTTCTGCATATGATTCAGGGAAAAAGGTGTGTCCCTGTTTCTAGTCCCCATCTGCATGCTGGGAATCATCCTATGCATGTAAGCTTCTTCCATCTGCGGACAGATGGGGGCTTCTATTCATATTTTCATGATGGATTCTTTGTGTTAATGAGCCTTCAGCTTGGTTAAAGCATCGGTGATGGTAATTGTATTTACGA